GGATCTCAATGCTAAAGTGGGTAAAAATGTTGTGGAGGGAGTAGTAAGTAAATTTGGGGTGCCAGGGGTATATGAAAATGGGGAACCTTTAATTAAGCTATATGTAGAAAGAGGTTTAGTAATAAGTAATACATATTTTATGAAAAAGAGGATAAATAAGTATACAAGGTATGATATAGCACGTAATGAAAGTAGTTTGTTAGATTATGTATTGGTGGATAAAAGGTTGATGGGTAGGCTTCAGGATGCACGTGTTTATAGAGGCAACTGACATAATGAACCATTATTTAGTTGTCCCTAGAGTTAGAGTAAGAGGTAGATGTGAAAAAAGGAAAATGGCAACAGCACGCAAGAGAGAAGTGAAAGTGTATAAACTAAGGGAGGAGGAAGTTAGGGCGAGATATAAGCAACTATTGGCAGAAAGGTGGGCTAGTGCAAGTAAGAGAAGTGGAGGGGAGTTGCAGAGGGTTGGAATAGTTTTAAAAATGCAGTATTAATATGTGGGGGAAGAAGTTTGTGGCTATAGGAGGGTGGGTGCAGGAGGAAAGAGGAGTGATTGGTGGAATGATGAAGGTTGTGATAAAAGAGAAAAAGGTAGCTTATGAGAGGTTTTTACAAAGTAGAAGGGTTATAAGAAGAGCAGAGTATATGGAGAGCAAAAGAAAGGTGAAGAGTGGTGAGAGAGTGCAAAAGGAGAGCAGATTATAGAGTGGGAGAGGCACTGTCAAGAAATTTTGCTGAAAATAATAAAAAGTTTTGGGAGTGAGAAAAACAAGTTAAGAAAGCCTAGGGAATGAATGGATTTGTCAGTTAAAAAGAGTAGGGGAGTTAGTAGATGGGGAGCTGGAAGTATTGGGTAGATGGCGGGAATATTTTTAGGAACTTTTCAATGTCGATGAAGAAAGGGAGGCACTTACCAGGGAGGTATAACATCTTTTAGGAGTGAAGAGCAGGATGTGAGTATGGGAGAGGTGCGTGAGGCATTATGTAGAATGAAAGGGGGTAAAGCAGCTGGAACTGTCGGGATCATTACAGAAATGTTAAAAGCAAGGGAGGATATAGTGTTGAAGTGGTTGGTATTTTTGTTTAATAAATGTATGAAAGAGGGGAAGGTACCTAGGGATTGGCAGAGAGCATGTATAGTTCCTTCATATAAAGGGATGTGTAATGTCACCATGGTGGTTTAATACAGTGGACCCCCGGTTATCGGCCGTTTTTTCGGCACTCGGTTATCAGCCGTTAATTCGGTGATCAGCCATTTGGGATGCGTCCATCCGCTACCTGGGGCCACTTGCGTGTCAGTTTGGCTTCGTCTCTTGGTGGCTGAGGAAGCTTCTGCTCATACATCCAAACATTTCGCTTGTTTTCCATTGTTTTTAGTGGGGTTTTTTTGCAGTGCAACTGTGAAATGAGTAACCATGGCTTTAAAGAAAGTTCCTGTGGTAAAGAAAGTGAGAAACACCATGGAATTTAAGTGTGAAGTGATAGAAAAGTTTGAGAGTGGTATGAAGGTGGTGGAACTTGCCAGGATGTACAGCAAGAATAAATCAACAATTACATCCATCCTGGCAAAGAAAGAACAAATCAAAGATGCAAAAGGAGTAACTTTTCTAACTAAAAGGCAACCAATAATGGAATAGATGGATAAGTTATTATTATTGTGGATTAAGGAAAAAGAATTAGTGGGAGACAGTGTTGTGGAGTTTATTATTTGTGAGAAGGCAAGGCAGTTGCATAAGGATCTTGCAAAGAAAATGCCTGGAACGAGTGCTGCAGTTTGTGAATTTATGGCCAGCAAAGGATGGTTTGATAGATTTAAGAAGCATAGTGGCATACACAGTGTTGTAAGGCATAGTGAGACAGCAAGTTCTGACAAACATGCGGCTGAAAAATTCGTGCAGGAATTCCAGGGGCACATATAGGCTGAGGGATTCAAACCCCAACAAGTGTTCAATTGTGACGAAAACAAGCCCGTTTTGGAAGAAAATGCCAAACAGGACCTACATTACCCAGGAGGAAAATGCACTGCCAGGACACAAGCCTATGAAAGATAGGCTTACTCTTTTGTTGTATGGTAATGCTAGTGGGGATTTCAAAGTGAAGCCTTTACTCGTATATCACTCAGAAAATCCTAGTGTGTTCAAGAAAAATGATGTCATGAAGAATAGAGTGAAAGAGATGCCTTCTTCAGAGATTAAAGAGGCATGTGCAATGTGGACTAGGGTGCAAGCTTTTGTAGAGAAACCACCCTGACAAAGCTGAAACAAGCCATATCTGCAACATGTTTAGTGACAAAACCCTGTCCCACTTCAGGGAAATCTATAAGAGACACTAGAAACAGAGCACTCTGGATGGTTATTTTGTGAGACAGGGGTCCAGTGACTCAAGCTGGTCCTAGTGGCATTAAAAGAAAGAAGGAAGTATCCCCAGAGAAGGCTTTGCTACCTTAAGTCTTTATGGAGGGGGATTCCCCTTGCAAACACTAACTCCTCCCTCTTTCCTCTTCCATCTTCCAGAAGCCAGCATTAGCCTTCAATAAAGGTATGTAATACTTACATAATTGTTAAAAAAATGTTTTTTTTTTTTTTTAATATTTTTGTCTGAAACAGATTAATTGTATTTCCAGTAATTCTTATGGGAAATATTAATTCGGTTTTCGGCCATTTCGGCTTTCAGCAGACCTTCTTGAATGGATTATGGTTGATAACCGGGGGTCCACTGTATATTTATAGATGGGGTTGTAAAAGACGTAAATGATAGGGTGTTGGGGGACAAGAGTGGGATTAAATTGTTGGGAATCAAGTACATCAAGTGGCTGAGATGCATCTTTTCTTTGCCATAATAATGCTTATGCCACATGTGTATCAGCACAGGGTCAAATCATACTGGTCAACAGACCGCCTGATTGCAACCCCAGGTTTCAGTGATATAATGCGAATGAATCGATTTGTGCTACTATTACACACGCTTCACTTCTCAGACAAAACCAGGCCTGACAGAAACGACAGGTTATGTAAGATTAGGAATGTGTTTGTGTACCTGAAACAGAAATTCAATATGTATTTTTATCCCTTCAGGAAGCTTGTTATTGACGAGTCTTTGATTCTGTTCAAAGGAAGACTCATTCAAGTAGTACATACCAAGCAAGAGGAAACACTTTGGTATAAAGTTATTTGTGCTTTGTGACTGCTACAGTGGTCTTGTATTGTATATTACTGTGTACACTGGAAGTTATACATTGCAAAATACCAGGAAGTTATTGGGCATCTCTGGTGATGTGGTTAGAACAATGATGGAACCATATCTTGGTAAGGGGTATATATTATATAACGATAACTGGTACACAAGCCCCTCACTCAGTGATTTTTTGCGAGTGAACATGACAGATGTGTGTGGCACAGTGCGTGGAAATCTTAAACATATGTCCAGGTTTGACGCTGGCACTCGTAGAGATGAGGTGTAGGAGTTTGCTGCCAATGATATCATGGCATTTCGGTGGCATGACAAATGAGATGTCACACTATTGTCATCAGTTCACCCTAACAAAATGACAAACACTGCCAGGCAGAACAGAGACCAATAAACCCATTCTAAAACCTGCAGCTGTGATTGATTACACCCTTAATATGTGCTCAGTGGACAAATGTGACATGCAGATTGGGTTTGCTGATTGTGTTCGCAAGAGTTATAAGTGATACATAAAACTCTTTTTCCATATTCTGGACATTTACATGCTCAATGCTTATAATATGTATAAGATGACCAGAAACAAACTACCATATGGCAAATTTTGTTTGTCTGTCATCAGACAAATAGTATTCAAGTACCAAGGAACAACACCTGCAATAGAAAACTGCCCATTAAATTATCAGCGACTACCTTCTCGTCTGAAGCATGGTGATCACTTCCTAGTAAAACTGCCTGCTACTGCTTTCAAGAAAAAGGCTCAGAAGAGGTGTTACGTCTGTGCACATACAAAAAAATGCCCACAACAACACAGACACACTCGTTTTATGTGTGAAGAATGTAAAACACCACTATGCATGACACCATGTTTCAAAGACTTCCACAGGCTGCAGAACTTCTAGAACCATGTCCTGTGACTGTATGTGTATATAAAATATAGAAAAATAGTAATAAACAATTTATATTGTTCATTTGTGTAAACAAGTTTTGTAAACAATATAGTGACAACAGTGTTTGTGCAATTATTGTGTAGTATAGAAAGAGAAAAAACTTACAAAATAGTGCTCATATTGGTCTCACAGGCCATAAAAGTTACTTGAAAAAATAATTTAAAAATAGAAAAAAGTAAGAAAAAACTAAATAAAAGTTTACCAGGTGACCGGCAGTCGGCGATGATGCCATATGTGGCTCATTTTCTGTCAACTTCACGCCTCCATATCTTAGTAAGTATTGATGGCAAAAAAGTTTTTTTAGCCTATAATATTTAGAAAAAAAAAAAAACTATCTTTTCATAAGAATTTTTTTTTTTTTTTTAAATTTTTCAACCATTCTTGAGAACAAGTCTGGGAGAGGGCCTGTCGACCCTGAAAGGGTTAATACATTCACAGGAAAGCATTAAACCTATAAAGGTCTAAGAAAGCCTGGGAAAGGGAAGGTAATCAGGTACAAGCCAAGGAAGGAAAGAACAGCTAATTCTTTGGATCAGGATCTCCAATATCACGGCACCTCCCTTGAAGTTGTAGGTGTATACAATATCCAGGAAAATGTAACAAAACTTTTTAAGACTGTCTTATAAATTCCTTAAGCAATATCTCTTAGTTAAAAAAAAAATCTGGTCAGTTTTATTATTTTCTCATTACCAACCTTAATTACTGGAGTGACACTGGCATTCTTGCCTTAAGTGTTCTCCATGTATCTCATCTTTTTGGGGGGCATTATCTCAAAAAATAAGGTTGCAATGTCAAGTGTTGATTATCTTGCTAAAAAAAATGACAAAGTATATATAATAACGAGTTAGAAATTTCTATGCATACCATGTTGCCCAAGGACTCCCAAGCCATAAATAGAGTTTGAACGAACTTCATTGTCTTCATCTCTAGTGCCCTCTTGGAATAGTGGCAACAGCTGAGGAACAAACTGACCACTTGCACTGCCTAGAGCCTCCACAGCCTCTGCCAGAGTGCCGAAGCTAAAGGAACGCTCTGCAACACTGCAACTTTTTTTCTGAAAAGTGCATTTATATTCCTTGTGTAAAGTGTAATTTGTAAATTAAGTGCTTGACTGCAATTACAAATATTAAAATAAAAATTATGAATTTGCAATCATTTATAAAATAAGATATGAATAAAGAAATTAAGACATTTTTCCCAAATATACACAAAAGCATTAGTATCCTACACATTCAATGATTCACTATAGTAATTAACAATTGCCTGATACTGGAACTGTGTTTACTATCTCACACTCCAACAATACATCAGTAAATATCACCACATAGCCCAGCTCAAACATGCTGTGGATCGAAAATTTCCCATGCTTGGATTAAACTTTTGAACTGCAGCTACTCATCCACTCACTGATAGCCGGAGTGCTTAAGAAGTTTTGTATAAACCCTGTTATACAGTAGTAATGCACGTATACAATGATATGGCTTGTGAATGTGAACAGTTACACACTTTTTTTTTCAACAAGTCGGCCGTCTCCCACCGAGGCAGGGTGACCCAAAAAAGAAAGAAAATCCCCAAAAAGAAAATACTTTCATCATCATTCAACACTTTCACCACACTCACACATTATCACTGCTTTTGCAGAGGTGCTCAGAATACAACAGTTTAGAAGCATATACGTATAAAGATACACAACACATCCCTCCAAACTGCCAATATCCCAAACCCCTCCTTTAAAGTGCAGGCATTGTACTTCCCATTTCCAGGACTCAAGTCCGACTATATAAAAATAACCGGTTTCCCTGAATCCCTTCACTAAATATTACCCTGCTCACACTCCAACAGATCGTCAGGTCCCTAGTATCATTTGTCTCCATTCACTTCTATCTAACACGCTCATACACGCTTGCTGGAAGTCCAAGCCCCTCGCCCACAAAACCTCCTTTACCCCCTCTTTCCAACCCTTTCGAGGACGACCCCTACCCCTCCTTCCTTCCTCTATAGATTTATATGCTTTCCATGTCATTCTATTTTGATCCATTCTCTCCAAATGACCAAACCACCTCAACAACCCCTCTTCTGCCCTCTGACTAATGCTTTTAACTCCACCCTTCTCCTAATTTCCACACTCCGAATTTTTCTGCATAATATTTACACCACACATTGCCCTTAGACAGGACATCTCCACTGCCTCCAACCGTCTCCTCGTTGCTGCATTTACCACCCAAGCTTCACATCCATATAAGAGTGTTGGTACTACTATACTCATACATTCCCTTCTTTGCCTCCATAGATAACATTTTTTGACTCCACATATACCTCAACGCACCACTCGCCTTTTTTCCCTCATCAATTCTATGATTAACCTCATCCTTCATAAATCCATCCGCCGACACGTCAACTCCCAAGTATCTGAAAACATTCACTTCTTCCATACTTCTCCTCCCCAATTTGATATCCCATTTTTCTTTATCTAAATCATTTGATACCCTCATCACCTTACTCTTTTCTATGTTCACTTTCAACTTTCTACCTTTACACACATTCTCAAACTCATCTACTAACATTTGCAATTTTTCTTTAGAATCTCCCATAAGCACAGTATCATCAGCAAAAAGTAACTGTCAATTCCCATTTTGAATTTGATTCCCCATAATTTAATCCCACCCCTCTCCCAAACACCCTAGCAAAATTTACTTCTTTTACAACCCCATCTATAAATATATTAAACAACCATGGTGACATTACACATCCCTGTCTAAGACCTACTTTTACCGGGAAGTAGTCTCCCTCTCTTCTACACACCCTAACCTGAGCCTCACTATCCTCATAAAAGCTCTTTACAGTATTTAGTAACTTACCACCTATTCCATATACTTGCAACATCTGCCACATTGCTCCTCTATCCACTCTATCATATGCCTTTTCTAAATCCATAAATGCAATAAAAACTTCTCTACCTTTATCTAAATACTGTTCACATATATGCTTCAATGTAAACACTTGATCTACACATTCCCTACCCACTCTGAAGCCTCCCTGCTCATCTGCAATCCTACATTCTGTCTTACCTCTAATTCTTTCAATTAAAACCCTACCGTATACTTTTCCTGGTATACTCAGTAAACTTATTCCTCTATAATTTTTACAATCTCTTTTGTCCCCTTTCCCTTTATATAAAGGGACTATACATGCTCTCCGCCAATCCCTAGGTACCTTCCCCTCTTTCATACATTTATTAAACAAAAGTACCAACCACTCCAACACTATATCCCCCCCTGCTTTTAACATTTCTGTCATGATCCCATCAGTTCCAGCTGCTTTACCCCCTTTCATTCTACATAATGCCTCACGTACCTCCACCACACTTACATTCTGCTCTTCTTCACTCCTAAAAGATGGTATACCTCCCTGGCCAGTGCATGAAATTACCGCCTCCCTTTCTTCCTCAACATTTAAAAGTTCCTCACACATTTGTATAAAAATGCTTTTGTACATTACAGATGCTGATATGCAGTATACAGAAAAACACTAAAGGATAATCAAGATTAGAGTAAAAAAGAACACTGCTTACTGTTTTGTTAGCAAAGAGTGGGAGTAGGTTAGCAAACTGTGTGGCAAATTCTGCTTGACTCATAGCCTTTCCTAGACTAGGCACTACTTCTCCTGCATATTCTATCAACAACTCATCATGTTCTGCTTCACCCTCATCTTCACTACTGGCTTCATCTGTCATATCCTGACACATAGTCTGCAAGAAAATGTTAATTAAAACAGTATCAAGCATTTTACACAAGCTGCACTTCAGAGGGTAACACGTCTTGTGGCATTTCTGCACATCCAGTATAACAGCTATTGAACAAGTAATCATTAATGTTTCCTGGTCATCCTCTATGGGGAGAAACAGCTGATGTAAAAAAAATTAAAGAAAAACTTGTATGGCTGTACAGTATGTATAAAAAAATGGTGTGATGTAATAGTTTGGAAGACCGACAAGCCGAAGAATGAGACTTGTCGAACATTTGGAAATCTTTACCGAGGAAATGTTTTTCCAGCCAATGGCTTCTTCAGTCCAATACAAAGAAAACCAGTGCAAGATAAGGAAGAGAATAAGGTCCCTCAATCAGGAGTAGAGTTCAGCCACTGGCCGGCAAAACGTTTCCTCAATAAAGATTTCCAAATGTTGCAAAAGTATCTCATTCTTCATAAAAAGTGGCTTAAAAGCAAGCCTTCAGTTAACATTTTTAAGCCTATTGTACTGTATTCATAAAGCAACCTGCCTTTTTTTGCATAACATCCTTCACACAGTTGGTAATAGCCTCCAGGTGTCCCTGTGGTACAAGCACTCTTGCACCTACTTCCTTTAGAACTTCAGCATATGCCTCAAGGCATGCCATCACTACTGATCTCTCTTCATCAGTACGTATCAACTCTGACAGCTTGGGTATGAACACTTGAATCCACTTCTTGAAACCTATAAAATGTAAAAATGTGGAAAAACTAATTACAGTTTATAAAAAAGAAACATTACAAACAGTGATTATGTATGAGTGAGGAGAAAGTGTTGAATGATGAAAGTATTTTTCTTTTTTGGGGATTTTTTTTTTTTTTTTTTTTTTGTGTCACCCTGCCTCGGTGGGAGACGGTAGACTTGTTGGAGAAAAAAAAAATTATATTGCTACTACACATGAAATAATTATTCATTGAATGTAAAAGCAATGTTATTCCTAATTAAGGTAAAAAAAAAAATTGCTACTACAAAAGCATTACAATGAACAGATAAAAAATAAAAGTTCTCAAATTCATCAATCATAATTTTTAAAGTACACATACACAGATGTCAAACTGTATGTAAATAGAAATGGCAATAATGCACCACTACGTGTAAAGATTAAATACATTAAAATTTGACAATTCAGTACTAAAAATCTCACCTTCTGCAGCTTCAGGAGCAGAGCTCTTAGCAAGACTGATGACAAACTGTGCCATTGCACCTACTGCTGCCTGCCGAACATCTTCACTTGGGTAATTTAGCATTTTATACACTTCCTCTCCACTTTTATCCATATATGGAAGGAATGCATCTCTGAAATGCCATAAGCAATTCATGTAACTCTTATCTCTTGTTTTTACTATAAGAAAGTTAGTAAAGGCCCCAATACATGGAAATACAACACACTATGTACATCATATGATGAAGATGGAATTTTTTTTTTTCCACAAGTCGGCTGTCTCCCACCGAGGCAGAGTGACCCAAAAAAAGAAAGAAAATCCCCAAAAAGAAAATACTTTCATCATTCAACACTTTCACCTCACTCACATATAATCACTGTTTTTGCAGAGGTGCTCAGAACACAATAGTTTAGAAGCATATACGTATAAAGATACACAACATACCCTCCAAACTGCTAATATCCCGAACCCCTCCTTTAGAGTGCAGGCATTGTACTTCCTTTTTCCAGGACTCGAGTCCGGCTATATAAAAATAACCGGTTTCCCTGAATCCCTTCACTAAATATTACCCTGCTCACACTCCAACAGATCGTCAGGTCCCAAATACCATTCGTCTCCATTCACTCCTATCGAAAACGCTCATGCACGCCTGCTGGAAGTCCAAGCCCCTCACCCACAAAACCTCCCTTACCCCTTCCTTCCAACCTTTTCGAGGACAACCCCTACTATTACCCAGGATGCACTGAATGGGCCCACCCGGCCATACATTTTTTGTACAAAAATAATCCGTACTTAGGAGGCAAACTTATAACATTTTGGCTTGACAAACCATTAACAAGTTACACAGAGAAGCAAGAAGGGAAGGGGGCCAGAATATATACAAGAGGAGGAAGGTGGAAGAAAAAAATGGCAGTGTAAAATTGACAAAGAAATAGCAGTAGAAATAGTGGAGGTACTAGATATATAAGAACAAGAGAATATAGGAGCACTGCAAGAGAGCAACCGGCTTAAATGGGAAGGACAAAATCCTCACATACAGAACCCACCAAAGGCATAAGGCTAGAAAATGTAATGAAAATATAGGAAAGATGAAGAGGATGGAGAGGAGACAAAGATCAAGTCAAATCATGAGTGTCCTGACGTTTGGAGCAAGTGACAATGTAATGAAAAACAAAGGCATCTCTAGAGAAAGCCAGGACTAAGATTCATATTAGGAATGCTATGTATAAGGGATGCTTCAATAAAATGACATCTGTGAAGGCTAGAAGGGTAGATAATTTTGGCAGAGGACCAGTTAACCCTTTGACTGTCGCAACCCCCAATCCTGAGGTGTCTCCTGTTGTCGCAAAATTTAAAAAAAAAAAAAAAAAAAAAAAAAAAAATGATTTTTTCTCATGAAATGATAAAGAATCTATTCCAGATTGTAAAGACACCAAACAAACGATATTTGATGGAAAACTGACGGAATTACGCTCTCGCGAAGTTAGCGACCTCGGCGATATTTACAAATCGGCGATTTCGCCCACTTTGAGCCCTATTTTCGGCTAATTCCATTATTCCAGTCAGCCAAACTCATAGCTATTTCTTCAGAACTCCATTTTTTCCATCGATTGAGTACAAGAAACTGCCCATTTACCGATTTCAACTACCCAATAACATGGTCAGAAATTTGTAATTTGGCCAATTTCACGAAAATTAAAAAATATGACAATTTCAAAACAAGGACTAGAATGAACAATGCAGACATTCCTGGCTCTAAAATAACATTTTCTTTGTTCATCAGTCATGCCTCCAGGCCCCTGTGATATTACTCTTGTTTTTTATTTTGAAATTTTATTCAAACAAAAAATAGAAGATTTACTGTTATGCAGACTACTGCAATACTGTAATAATTGTAAAAATTACATCAACCCATTCATGACTGCATATTAGAATAGCTATTTGGACATTTATTGGACAATGACATCATTTGTTTACTTTTGAACATCGGCAAAAATCAAACATTTCCTGTATTTTGTGCTCCATTTCCAGGTTCTTTTTATAGTAAAATTAATCAAAATCACCTCTATTTCTATAATATAGTTTCCATTCTATCAAATGAGACCAAGAAAATGAGAATACAACAACAAATACTATACGAAAATAGACCACAAAGTCGGCATTTTAATTAAAAATAAAAAACGGTCGGAGTTTTTTTTTTCTTATTATGCACTGCGTGCTCCAGGATTTTTTTTATATGGTGCACACTGACCACACAGACCCATTCTCTCACATGTGGGCCTACCAGCTTTCTCCTGCCTGATTTGAAGCTGCTAGAATTTTTTTTTTTTTTTCAACAAGTCGGCCGTCTCCCACCGAGGCAGGGTGACCCAAAAAAGAAAGAAAATCCCCAAAAAGAAAATACTTTCATCATCATTCAACACTTTCACCACACTCACACATTATCACTGCTTTTGCAGAGGTGCTCAGAATACAACAGCTTAGAAGCATATACGTATAAAGATACACAACATATCCCTCCAAACTGCCAATATCCCAAACCCCTCCTTTAAAGTGCAGGCATTGTCACTTTCCATTTCCAGGACTCAAGTCCGACTATATGAAAATAACCGGTTTCCCTGAATCCCTTCACTAAATATTACCCTGCTCACACTCCAACAGATCGTCAGGTCCCAAGTATCATTCGCCTCCATTCACTCCTATCTAACACGCTCATGCACGCTTTCTGGAAGACCAAGCCCCTAGCCCACAAAACCTCCTTTACCCCCTCTTTCCAACCCTTTCGAGGTCGACCCCTACCCCTCCTTCCTTCCTCTATAGATTTATATGCTTTCCATGTCATTCTATTTTGATCCATTCTCTCTAAATGACCAAACCACCTCAACAACCCCTCTTCTGCCCTCTGACTAATGCTTTTATTAACTCCACACCTTCTCCTAATTTCCACACTCCGAATTTTCTGCATAATATTTACACCACACATTGCCCTTAGACAGGACATCTCCACTGCCTCCAACCGTCTCCTCGCTGCTGCATTTACCACCCAAGCTTCACATCCATATAAAAGTGTTGGTACTACTATACTTTCATACATTCCCTTCTTTGCCTCTATAGATAACGTTTTTTGACTCCACATATACCTCAACGCACCACTCACCTTTTTTCCCTCATCAATTCTATGATTAACCTCATCCTTCATAAATCCATCCGCCGACACGTCAACTCCCAAGTATCTGAAAACATTCACTTCTTCCATACTCCTCCTCCCCAATTTGATATACCATTTTTCTTTATCTAAATCATTTGATACCCTCATCACCTTACTCTTTTCTATGTTCACTTTCAACTTTCTACCTTTACACACATTCTCAAACTCATCCACTAACCTTTGCAATTTTTCTTTAGAATCTCCCATAAGCACAGTATCATCAGCAAAAAGTATCTGTGTCAATTCCCATTTTGAATTTGATTCTCCATAATTTAATCCCACCCCTCTCCCAAACACCCTAGCATTTACTTCTTTTACAACCCCATCTATAAATATATTAAACAACCATGGTGACATTACACATCCCTGTCTAAGACCTACTTTTACCGGGAAGTATTCTCCCTCTCTTCTACACACCCTAACCTGAGCCTCACTATCCTCATAAAAGCTCTTTACAGCATTTAGTAACTTACCACCTATTCCATATACTTGCAACATCTGTGACATTGCTCCTCTATCCACTATCATATGCCTTTTCTAAATCCATAAATGCAATAAAAACTTCCCTACCATTATCTAAATACTGTTCACATATATGCTTCAATGTAAACACTTGATCTACACATCCCCTACCCACTCTGAAGCCTCCCTGCTCATCCGCAATCCTACATTCTGTCTTACCTCTAATTCTTTCAATTATAACCCTACCGTATACTTTTCCTGGTATACTCAGTAAACTTATTCCTCTATAATTTTTACAATCTCTTTTGTCCCCTTTCCCTTTATATAAAGGGACTATACATGCTCTCTGCCAATCCCTAGGTACCTTCCCCTCTTTCATACATTTATTAAACAAAAGTATCAACCACTCCAACACTATATCCCCCCCTGCTTTTAACATTTCTGTCATGATCCCATCAGTTCCAGCTGCTTTACCCCCTTTCATTCTACATAATGCCTCACATACCTCCACCACACTTACATTCTGCTCTTCTTCACTCCTAAAAGATGGTATACCTCCCTGGCCAGTGCATGAAATTACCACCTCCCTTTCTTCCTCAACATTTAAAAGTTCCTCAAAATATTCTTGCCATCTACCTAATACCTCCCTCTCCCCATCTACTAACTCCCCTACTCTGTTTTTAACTGACAAATCCATACTTTCCCTAGGCTTTCTTAACTTGTTTAACTCACTCCAAATTTTTTTCTTATTTTCATTAAAATTTCTTGACAGTGCCTCTCCCACTCTTTCATCTGCTCTCCTTTTGCACTCTCTCACCACTCTCTTCACCTTTCTTTTACTCTCCATATACTCTGCTCTTCTTATAACACTTCTGCTTTGTAAAAACCTCTCATAAGCTACCTTTTTCTCTTTTATCACACCCTTTACTTCATCATTCCACCAATCACTCCTCTTTCCTCCTGCCCCCACCCTCCTATAACCACAAACTTCTGCCCCACATTCTAATACTGCATTTTTAAAACTATTCCAACCCTCTTCAACCCCCCACTACTCATCTTTGCACTAGCCCACCTGTGCCAATAGTCGCTTACATCTCGCCCGAACTTCCTCCTCCTATTTTATACACTTTCACCTCCCTCTTACTTGTTGTTGCCACCTTCCTCTTTTCCTATCTACCTCTTACTCTAACTGTAGCTACAACTAAATAATGATCCGATATATCAGTTGCCCCTCTATAAACATGTACATCCTGGAGCCTACCTATCAACCTTTTATCCACCAATACATAATCGAACAAACTACTTTCATTACGTGCTACATCATACCTTGTATATTTATTTATCCTCTTTTTCATAAAATATGTATTACTTATTACCAAATTTCTTTCTACACATAGCTCAATTAAAGGCTCCCCATTTACATTTACCCCTGGCACCCCAAATTTACCTACTACTCCCTCCAT